AGCTCAGGTAGTATGCCCTGCTAATTCACCATCTCTCACAGTGTGTTCAGATTCACAGTCGTTTAGCTCAGGTAGTATGCCCTGCTAATTCACCACCTCTCTCTAGAAATGCTTGTTGTTCCTCTACTGTGCTTCACAGGTTTTTCTCCAGGTTCTCTGGTTTTCTATAAAAATCCACTTAATTAAACCTGGAAGGTCATACAAGTGAGGCTGATGGGTCAATACAGTAATGTATAGTAAACTGAAAACCCAAATCACTGGTAACCGTTTTTTATTTCCCTTTAGGCAAATGCGTCTTGCCAGTTTTTGGTAGTTAAAAAGGCTGATTTGCCTGTTATGATTTTTCCTCACAATGGTCGCTTGCAACATGCTGTCGACACACATTGCTTAGTATAAATTAGCCATACAACTTGATTAAAACCATAAACGGCAGCTAAAACTTGGTATCCGTATATTGTGTGCGACAGTTGTGAGGAAAAACCATACCATGTAAATTCATTAAGGCTGACTTATTTGTTCTCTTCAGCTGGTCCCCTTGCCTTGGCTCATGACTACCTAACCACGGACTCAGAACCATTCTTTGTGCTGAATAGCGATGTCATCTGTGACTTTCCCTTCAAGGAAATGGTTAAGTTTCACAAGGATCATGGAAAGGAAGGTACCATCGTGGTGAGTCTAGAGTTATGTTTTGGGCTTCCCGTGCTTTACACAGGTATCCCATTACAAAAATGCTTAAGTTATGCTTTATTGTGTTTTACTGTAGGTGACCAAAGTGGAGGAACCATCCAAGTATGGTGTAGTTGTATATGATGCCAAAACAGGACAGATAGAGAAGTTTGTTGAGAAGCCACAAGTCTATGTATCCAACAAGATCAATGCTGGTCTCTACATTTTTAGCCCAAAGATTTTAAACAGAATTGAGGTACAAAATTGTCCTCGTATTTTCAGTTCTCAATCCTTTCGATAGACTCATCCTTTCATTAGAGACCTTTAGATGTGACGACAAGTACGAGAACGAGCATGAGTACRAGTTTTTAACTTTTAAAGAGAGGCACTATCTTTTTGTAGTCATGATCGTGTACGTAGATTGAAACTTTATATTGTAAAAAATCGGGAATCGACTAAGATTTAGTGTTAAAAGTTGTACTCGTACTCGATCTCGTACTCGTTGTCGAATCTAAAGGTCACTATTATCTATATTAAGACAAACTTTGTTTACATTTGGTATCACATGCTGTAGTTAGACCACTCACAGCTTTTTTGTGATATTTGTTTTAAAGTGTTTATACACACTAGTTAGACACACTGTTAAATTTTTTATCATTTGCATATTGGTATCATTTTTTTCCTGACAGCTAAAGCCAACATCAATAGAAAAAGAAGTATTCCCATTCATGGCAAATGATGGTCATCTATTTGCATTTGACTTGAAAGGTATTTACTCAAAGCTACGAAAGATTTTCAATAGAGCAGCTTTTGTATGACAGGGAAGCAATATAATATGCAAATGCATAACGGTACATATGTAGTCATGCCATCTCTTAACATAGCAGTAACTACACATTGTACACATGAAATGCATTTTATAGAAGAAAAGCATAGAAATTGGCCTTTTGTTTTGGACATGAATTTACACTATCCACCTTTATTTCGAATGAACAGCCTTGCTCATCCTTGTAAGATGACTGGGTGACCTTGTTTTCTTGTGGTCGTCAGCCATTATGAGAAAGGTGTATAAGTACTGTACATATGTCTTAGTAAATATATACATTGTTAACATGAATTTATAGTCCCATACAAGCACATTTGATGAAACTGTCAATCTTTTCATCCTGTCAGAACAAATGATTGATTTGGATAGATTTGGCACCAAAGGACTTATCCTAGGATTATTGAAAATTTTTAATCTTTATTTTTTGCTAAATTTCAGCATAAAATTAATAGTTATCAATATTAAAATAAAATTTATAGGATAAAAACTGCAAATTTTGCATAAAAAGCTTTTTTCGATCCGAAGATCCATAAACTGAAGTCCAATCCATTCCATTCATGTATGGTTCCAGATTTTCCAAAATAAAAGATCTCTCAAAATTCAAAATTTAGAGGCATAAATCAAATTTTAGAAGTTGGATATGTTTTTTCTGTGCATAAAGATTGACCATACCCCTTAATAACTGCAAATTTATTATTATTTTTTCAATCCAACGATCCATTTAGCTAAAGTCCAGTCCATTCCATCCATATACGGTCCTGGATTTTCCAAAATACAAAATCTCTCAAAATGCAGGATTTAGAAGCATAAATCAAATCAGCATGTAATCCAACCTCACAATCTTGGCTGTCCTTGGTATTTTTTCTTCCAATTATTATTTCCAAATCAAACAGTTTATAATACCATTAACCTATTAGAGTGCTCGCACTAAACCCGTGATACAAATACTAATTTTTAGTACTAAATAGTGATAATCAAACAATAGAAAACAAAGGATTCTGTATGAATTATTACTAATTAGTACTAAATATTATTCATGGGTTTAGTGCGTGCACTCTAGAGTGCAAACAATTAATCCGTGAAACACTAATTACTAAATAGTTCAAAATAGTGCTAATTAAACAATAGAAAACAATGGAATTTGCATGAAATTGTGCTATTTAGTATTACTAAAGTTTCACGGTTATATTGTATGCAATCTACCTGCACAGCACAAATGAATGTGCTTTTGTTTGTCCACTCTACAATCTGGATATATTGATTATCTAGTTTTTCTTCTCATGAAGGATTTTGGATGGATGTTGGGCAGCCCAAAGACTTCCTAACAGGAATGTGTATGTATTTGAACTCTTTACGGCACAAGTTTCCAGAAAAGCTTCATGAAGGAAATGGAATAGTGGGAAATGTACTTGTGGTAAGTTTTTGATTGTCACCCACTATGATAGTCTGTAGCCTTATCTTTATCATAAGTGAATGGTTTAGACCCCTTCTAAAATAGCAATCAAGGCAGTGCATTGTGGTATAGATAGGGTACAAAATTGTTGTTCATAAGGAGACCTCATCCAAGAGATTAGTAATCAAGATGCATTGTGGTATAGCTAGGGTGTGAATATCTTTTGTTCATAATGCTTTTTGTGGTGTGGGTTTTTCCCAAACTAGACCAGAATGCATTCTGTTAAGGTCCAGATAAGCTCTATGTAACTTCATATGGGATTTTCTTACGTAGGATCCAACAAGCAAGATAGGGGAACGATGTCGTATAGGTCCAAATGTTGTCATTGGACCAGGTGTTGTAATCCAAGATGGTAAGCATTTTAAGATCATATATTACTGTATTCAATTTCTATGTATAGACACAGTCTGCAATGAGTATCATGTTATTAGAAAATTGTGTTACTAATGACCCGCGTACAACTGGTCACATTTAGAATATTGTTATTTATAATGATAGGCAATGGGCAGAAAGCAATAGGAGATAGGTTATTTCAAGATCCAAGAATAGCTGGAAGGACTTGTGTTTCTGTTTCTTATTCTCGTCAAGAACATGGACCTTAGAGTCGAGACTGATTCCATGTTGTTTGTGTTCAACAAAACCATTTCCATCTTGGAATAACCTATCTCCCTTGGCGATGACAACATTTTTTGAAATAGGTGTATAATTATTTCCGTGATAGGTGCATGTCTGTCAAGATGTGTTATTCTACGTGATGCTGTAATCAAGTCACATTCCTGGATTCAGTCTTCTATTATTGGTTGGAAATCAGAAGTTGGGCAATGGGTAAGTAAATGTGGCATCTTTTAAGATAAAGATTATGCACAGCCCCCCCCCCCGGCCCTTCCCACCACCCCAAGGATGATTTGTTGAGGTTATTGGATAGCGATGCCCATTGTAATCCTGGAATAGTCCCCTTCACAGTTCCCTGCTCCATCTTGAAAGGTAGCCATGCCTTTGAATTGAAGCAAGATGAATGGTGAGCTTGCAATGATAGAGACCTTTCTTAACACCTTAGACAATTATTCACTTCTCTATCATTCAAGCTCACCGTTCGTCTCACTTCAATTCAAAGGCACGGCTATCTTTCAAGATGGCGCCTGTAACTGTGAAGGGGTCTATTGCCCCAGGAGCTTTCAGCATGACAACAAACCTACCCTGACTAACAAAAGCAAAAGAGAATGAATTCAAAACCAGAGTGATAATCGAAATAGTAGTTAATCAAGGCATTCTTCTTCTTTTCAGGTTCGCATGGAGGGTATATCGGTACTAGGGGAAGACGTTATAGTTAAAGATGAACTGTACATCAATGGCGGCAGGATTCTACCACACAAGTCAATATCCAATTCTTCACCTGATCCACAAATTATAATGTAAACAAAACCATAGAGTTATATGATCAATCCATGTATTTCACAATCAATCTATAGTAGGTTTTATTTAAATTCATTCACTGATAGTCTGGTATGTACAGTAGGCGTGTGTAAAGTACCAAGGGGTGTGCAATTGACCCAGTGGGAACTTGCATTAAGAGACAAAACTGCAAGTCAACTAGGCAGCACGGATTGATTGTAATTTTTACTCTTAGACTGCAACATCTTACCAGCAACATCTAGTATAAATACTCTGGCAAAGCACTGTTGCTAGTATGGTGTTGCATGTGCTTGGAATTTTTAATAGGGATGCAAATTGTGCTTTTGCTCACTTAGTCTTTTAGATTTTCTATCAACCAATGAGAGGTGACCTAGGAGAACAAACTTAACCCATTTCCACAATCAAATATATAATCCATAATTTTTGGTTAATTTTTTTCAATGAAAGAATTTATTTTGAAATTTTCAGAATTTATCTTAAATTTGGGGAACTTGTTTATCTTAAATTATATAAAAAAATGTAACTCTGTTGTAAGCATCTATGGAATGAAATTTTTAGAAAGAAATTCTGGTATCTGAATTTTCATATTTAGTGAAATTTTGAAGTATTTTCCACTTGACAAATAGAGAACCTTAGCATGACACTCTTGCTAGGTACCATAAACCTCAAACTGCAGTTCAATGTCAGGCRTTTTCTATCTAACTTCTGCCATTTAGCAAGGAGTCATCTGGGCCTGATCCCTAAAAGTAAGCAGTAAAGCTGATGCTAAAGGTCTCTAATAACATGTTGCAACAACCTTTGAATTTAATGGATGTCCTGAAACAACCAGCTCTGGGATGATCAAGGTCAGAACATGGCTAACTCACAGATTGAACCCTGAAACAACTTCTGGGCTGATCAAAATCAGAACATGGCTAACTCACAGATCGAACCCTGAAACAACCTCTGGGCTGATCAAAGTCGGGACATGGCTAACTCACAGTTCAATGGCACTGGCATATTAAGTGTGTTAGATTTTGCATGGGGATGAAAACCAAGAGAAAAACCCTCAAATCAAGACAGAAACCTTACAAACTCTATGAATTCACATGTGATGCAGAGTCTGGAAGTAGTGCACTACCGCTACACCACCCTTTATTACCAACAACAAAACCCTGACACATCAACAATTTTATGATTTTATTTTTATGCACATGATTTGGAAGCACTGTAAGAAGAAGCTCCTTGTTTATCTTATTTTATTTTTTTGCCAGTATGATCTGCAAAATTAGTGTTTTTTCAACTTCCTTTGAAATGTTACCTTCATTACATCCCAATATGGGAAGATAACCTTTACATGTGATTATGTACAACTAGTTTTTGCTTCAGGTGATTAGAATCTGTGATAGATGCTGTTATTTTGATGAATCTGAGGATATATCTTCAAACCTGTCTACAAGTTCCTTACAGAAAAAGCATTCCTTGTTATTCATCAAGTGACGAGTAATACATGACCTGCAATGTAAAGCATGAAATCTAGATCAATATCAAGATACTAAAAATATTTTTAATAAGCTAAAGTTGGGAAGGGGGGGGGAGAGGATAAACACCTTTCATTTATTCATTTATTCTTTTGTATGTTCATTATTTCTTTCATACATCTATTATCCATTTGTTCATTCTCTTTTCAAAGTTCTTTATTGGTTATTCTTCAAGAATGGCAATGAGGAAGTAACTCAAAAGTGGTTTCATTATCTAAATGTTTGAAATAGGAAAACAATTGCAATGTAAATGGAAAATGGTTTTAATGTCTTGGGAATACAATAGTCTGGTACTTTATAATATAGTCTCTAGGGGTTGGAGGTCACCTACCACCAACACTACCCCTGTCAGGAAAGTATGAGTACAAGATTGTGGTATTTTCTGGAACACCTAAGGAGGTCTTCCTTAAGACCGATTCAGATGGTACGATTTTCGACTACAACTATCGTATACAACACGCTCGCGTCTGTCGTAGGCGAGTTGTAGGCTTGATTTACATGCTACGACTCAAGTTGTAGGATGGTGCGAAAGTGTTGTATACGATAGTTGTAGGCGAAAATCATACCGTCTAAACTGGCCTTTAGTGTGATAGCAGTTTCAAAAAGGAACTTACTTGCAGGACACATGACCACAAGGCATGAATTTAACTGAGATCTTCATAGCATAACAAATAGGACACAACTCTTCAACATCAACAGACTCTTGCTTGTGAAGTTTGACTTGTAAACTTTGTTCTTCTAGATAATGTACTAGGTTTTCAACTTCCTTTACTTCTTCTTGGTTGACATCTTTATTAGCCACTGCAACATATATGTGATGAATTTATTACTCTTAATTACTCTATATGATCTTCATTTAGGAACTCTGAAAGCTTGTCAGTCCTGGATAAGCGCTTTACAAAATATTGTAATTATTACTAAAATTATTATTATTTTATAAAAAACGTGAAAAATCCTGTATCCCTATTATAGGTTTTCTAGATCCAAAACACCGGAAAACTTTTACTATTGACAAAACATTTTCAAGGAAATCCCAAAGTTTTGCACAATTTAAAAATAGGATTGAAAGACCTTTTAAGACATCTTGATTTATTCAAACGTTTATTTTTTGATGGAGAATCAAAAAACAATATATATTAATTTACTTTTTTTGGATGGAAAAACCTAATGTATCGTTTTTTAAACTGATACACTGTAATTTAATCCATAAGATATCCATGACCTGACTTAGATCAACTCATCCACGGTAACCAGGGGTAAAATTCTGTCATGAGAAATGAGCAACAGAATTTACCTCTGGGTTACCAAGAATGAGATTAACTAAGAGTTTAATCAAATTGATGTGAATACGAAGAATGAGAACTGCATATGACAGTACCACCTGTCCACACTTACAGTTGGTAAAATTTGTTATAAGTTATACTTACAAGTACGAAATGAAAAACTCTGCTGTGACTTCTTGCTAGGAACAGAAGATTTGCCTCCAACAAGGAATTCCACTGACTCCATGGTAAAGCCAGGCTCAGCTAGTAATGCAGAGGTAGCTCGTTCTTTGCTGTTGATAAAATCATTATTAATATTAAAACCAAGAGAATATGAACTAAGAGAAGGAATCCCCACACCCCATTATGAGCTGTCTTTGATGCTTTTTTTCTTCTGTCACTCAAATCATAGATAATTGGTACCTTTATGGATAAAAATCGTTAGTTGCCACGCCCAACTGGATAGGACTCGGGTAAAACTTAGGGGTCATTTTCAAAATTTCCAACAAGCATCCCCACCCTTCTTTGGGGTTTAGATATGGGATAAGGGTTTCATAAAAAAACTGAAGGTTAAGAAATGCTAAAGAACCATGTGTCATACCTTTACTACAACTACTGATTGGTAAACTTACGAGGGAACCCAGAGAGGGAAAAGCATATGGGAATGATTTATTTTACTATGGCAAGTGTACTGCCAATACTCCCATCTCAAGTTCGTCTTTGCTCAGTCTTAGCCTCGATTGCGTACAAATACGTTTTTTCTCTTTTATTAAGGTTCATCGTATAGTAAGAAATGTGCATACTATGGAACAACATAAGGTGATTAAAATTCCAGGACATTTGGTTGAATACACATAGATGAATATTATAATGCACAAATGAGACTAAGCCTGAGGAAAGAGAACTTGAAACTGGAGTTAAAGGAGAATAAAGGACAAAAGATGACAACCCTAACCTTTCAGTGGTGCCATGCAATAACAGTGTGATGAGAATACCAGCCACAGCACCAAGGACAGGAAATCTATCAACTGTTTCCAGGCCTGGTAGGTGAAGTCTGGTAACATTTTCGAAGAGGTTGGAGTTGGCAGTGATGCGCTTCAGGACCTGGGTTAGCAGCTGAAATGAATGGAAAATGATGGGCATGGTAAAAACAATGGTTTGAAGCTGGGCCCAAGTTCATTGATTTAGGTGATGGGTACCAGTAAATGCCATCTTCCCACTGAGAGACTTGTTGTAATTGCTCGATACTGGGTGTCTGTATTGACTATTTCTATGCGCAAATACGTTATTTAGCATACGTACAAACAGATTGTAGGTTTGATTTCTGAGATCTGACTTTTAGTCTTAGAGATATTTGAGGACAATATCAGGATTTCACTTCCATTGGGCATTGGGTAACCCTGGAAGGAATAGAACAAGGGTGGGTTGAATGGATAGATGGATGGGTGGTTAAGTGGGTGGGTGGGTCAGTTGGAAGGTGCATGGATTCTGGATTCATGGATGTATGGATGATAAATAAAGAAGAAATTTTTTTATGCTTTCATGTTTTAACACATTAAAAAATAAGGATTAAAATCTATGCATTTCGTCCGAAATCCTAACATTCAAAAAAGAAAATGACTGAATGGATGAACGAATGGAAAAGGAATAGGATCAGATGGGATGAGATAGATGGATGATAAAGTAAGACAGAAGAGAATTTGAAATTGGGAAAGCTGAAATGACTTAAAGACCATGAGTGATTCAGTCATCACAGAATTTCCCAAACCAACTGAAAACCTTCTTAATAAATGTACCTGGAACAGTCTAGCAATGTGAAGTTCTGACGACTCCATTTTCCAGTCAGTAAACACCTGTGGTGTAACAGTTGATACCATCTCTAGAACCTTAAACAAAAAAAAAAACATAAATAATGATGTGTCTACTTGAAATCATAGCTAGTTGATAAATAATAATTCAGAACACCGTGTAATGGTTGAACTACCTCTCTAGAAGAAGAAATTCAAGTGTACTTACTATTTCTCAAAAAGTTTATAATTTGTGAATGACTTTCTTATACCAAATTCATAATCACACAACTCAAACTAGCTTTAACAGACTCCTTTCAAATTCAAAATTACCCACTGTGTACTGCACAGGGTTAGCCTTGAGTTTGTGCAGAATATTCACGTGTTCCAGTCAAGGTCCACCGAGTTTCAGAATGTTTGTATTGTTGGAGTTGTGCACTCTTTACTTTTCTGTTGGTATTTGTGAATATTTAAACACTGATATGAGGCTAACCCTGTGCAAATGAGTCTGTAATCAAGAAACACAGCGGTGATTTGGAATTCGAAACTGGTCTATTTGAAACATGTCTCTTTCACTCAAGTTTCCAACAATACTGTTTTGTGGTGATGGAAGCCAGTAACCACAAAGACCTTTTTGCACCTTAATAAACTTTTCCTTGATTTGTTTGAGTGACAAATGGTTTCAAGTCGAGGTTGGATTTGATAAATACACTCAAGCAAAATCTAAGTTGTCTGTTGTCTGTCTGTAATTAAAGAGTGAACATCCATGTCACAGCATACTTACCCTTAACAGGCCAACAGTAAGGTCAAAGCACACGGCACATGTACGTAACTGCCTTTTCTCCAAACTAATTTCTAACCTGTTTGTAGCCTGTTGGATCTGTGAAGATGGACAAGCCATAAAAAGTTACTATTGTATGCATCCTGAATTTTAATTAAGTCATTAACCTTTATTAACCATTCACTTGGTGATTATCAACACTAATATTATCATGGACACTGTTGACACTATCATCATTACTATTATCACCATCCATCCTCTTCATCATCAGTATTTCCATATTAACCTCTTCACCATCACTATTGCCACAACAACCGGCACCACTATCACCAACACCACCATAACCGTCACCATTAACGTTCTATTATTTTCATACTAAATTTGTGCAGCATTTCAACCACTACTATTGTATATTATCCTTGCTCTTATCATACCTATCACAACCACCATCATCAGCAACAGCAGTTACTAGATCCTCGTACAGCTTGTAGCAAATCCACCACCAACATAGCCATCAGCTATGACACCCTCAGTATCACCATCATTATTGTCAATACCATCAGCAACAGCACCAGCCCCTTGTGACATATCCACTACCACCATAGCCATCAGTTACAGACACCCTCAGTATCACCATCATTATCATCATTACCATCAGCAACAGCACCAGCTCCTTGTAACATATCCACTACCACCATAGCCATCAGTTACAGACACCCTCAGTATCACCATCATTATCATCAAC